GATAACAGATCTAATGTTCTACAGAGACTTTATCTGTAAAACATAATTTAAGAAAATGATGTGAGTGCCATTTTTATGTAATTTTTAAGTACTCAATAATCTTAAAAATTTAGGAAAATATTCTGTTGACTTTAAATTTACTATAGTCATCGCTCTTATTTTCTGATAATGTAGTGTATGGTGACCTGTACTTACAAAATTTGGCATGTTTATATACACACACAGACACACAACCAAAATTCTTTTAATTCATCCTTTGTGATGATTTGTATTAAGCTTTTCCATTTAACAGTTTTTACTTAATATCATCTAGAAGGGTGAAATTGATACATAATTTTAAGATTTAAAACTTTATAAATTATAATAAGTTAAAAAAAAAAAAAAAAAAAAAAAAAAAAAGGAATCCTTGAAAAACATTTTTTTCTTAAAACAATTGTGTCCTGATCTTATTTATAAAAGCAATTAAAAGCTTTTCTAATAATTAGATAGTTCTATTGCAGGTTTTTTTTTATTTTATGATTCACACCAAAAATGAGTAATACTCAGTCTGGATAAAAAACAAAATTTAATTTTTTGAAATTTGATAAAATTAATTAAGTAGGGGTAAATAGATTAAAAATTTTTTTTTGTTTTTAACCAAAATTTTCTAAAAATAAATACATTTCCAAAATAATTTCATTCATTCACGAATCAAAATGTGATAATTATTTGATTTTTTGCCAGAAAGACTAAATTTCCAATACTAATCTTTGGCTTACCTGTTGATGCAAGGAAAACAATATTTTTAACCAAAATTTCAAACTCGCTAGAAAAGATTCAAAAATTTAATAAAATAAGAAAATACTCCAGCCTTTACTCTTAAACAAAGATTATGATGATAAAATGTTGCTTTTATCAAGTTTGGAACCCTTTTTCATCATACTCTTTTTAGTGATTTATTTATTTATTTAAAAAGAAAAAAAAAAGGGGGTTACCTATACAAAAGAAAACCCAGTAAATTAATCATCATTGATATTAATTTTCTTAATTGGAATCATAATTAGTGTTCAGGCATTCAATTTTTAAAAACCTGACATAGGAAAGCAAATTGTAATAACCTGGAAATAATGAGATTTTGAGAGGAGATACAAAAAAAAGAAAAAAAGTTAAACATTTCGAGGGAAATTAGGGGCTATCCTTGCTTAACTTGAAAAAATACTGAGTAGGTGTTTTTAATAAAAATAAATCAATTTAGAAAACAAATAGCATTTGTGACAAACCAGACACACTGTACACAGGGAATCACAAGTAACAATGGAGTGATTATAAACTCTAAGCCCCAAATCAGGGGCAACAATTCGAGTTAAAATGTAACTATCGTTTATTATGGGTTTTAATTTTAAATAATATATTTTCAAATACATATTTTGATTTCTTTTGAAATATATGTTCACATTCGTGTTATGCTTGTTTTTCCTTTTTCTTTGAGGAAACGCTTCAGATGAAGTCAGATATATTTTCTTGTTTTAGGATCAACTAGAGTCTAAAAAAAGCTTCATGTAAAATTGTAAATCAACAAAATTGCGATTGTACCCACAGATCATTTATTTGAAGGTGAACCAACCATCACTAATTATAATTGTAGAGAACCTTGTTCAATGCTACATCTTTGGATGACTGCTTTTCTAGAGAGAGTGCTTCTCGATATATCAAGAACAAATTCTACAGAGTAATTTAAAAGCTTCAGGATTTCTTTCAATATTAAGGATTAATGGCATTAGATACCTCCGTGAGATTGCTAAAAAAGAGCATAGCATGACGAAAAAGATGCCAAACTTGATGAAAACAAAACTTTATTGTCTAAATGTTTATGTTATTATTAAGAGGAAAGATCAAAGTATTTTGGGGGTATTTTTTTTTTTACATTTTTAATAGTTTCTAGCACATTCAAAATTTTCATTAAAAATCTTTTTTCTCGAGTCAGCAAAATTGACAGATAATCAATCATGTCAACCATGTTTTTCCATTTTATAAAAAAAAAAAGTGTCAGTTTGAAATTATTTTAAAAATCAATTATAATTTTTTCAAAATTTAAGAAAATCAGAAATTATGTTTAAAATATTTTGAAACAAGCACTACTTAGTTTCTGCACCGAAAAGATGTAGTTTGAAAATAAAACAAAGCAGGTCATAACCTTTCACATCACTTGACAGTGAATGAATGACAATTTAATGACGTATTAACAGCTTACGTGAGGATAATTCATTCTATGGAAGAAGAGAAGCGAAATTATTTAGATTTAAGTGAACAAATTAACTTGTTATTTTTAAGCAAAACTTTCAGCGCCCTAATTTTTTTTTGTACTTTACTTTTTACGTTTACAATGCTTTATGGAAAATATATTATAAAGAAAATTAAAATAAGACTGTTGAGAGTGAGATTAAATTTCATAAGAAAGGTATTAATTAATTTATAGGTATCTTTCTAATGAAATTTTATCAGAAGTGTACATAAAATACTATAATTTTATGTACATTTATTACATGTGTTATTTGTATTCCCATTCATTTTATTAATTTTGATATTTCATTTATGGAAAAATGTCATAACTGAGATTAATATAAAAATAAGATCATAAATTTCATAAGATGATACTGATACTTGTAGGTACTCTTCTCAGTTGAAATTGAAAAATCAAATTAACTTCACACGTTTTGCAAAAGTAAAGGCCTTAACAGCAGAGAACAATGCTTAACTCAAATAATGTAACTTAATTGTATTCTGGTTGGTCTTCTGTACTTTATAATTACAGCTCGATTATAAGCACAAAATTACATTTCTTAATTACTGAGGGTCTTCTGATTAGTCAAAACGATACAATTTACAATGCACTAAAAAATGATAAGGGCATTTACGAAACTGAATGCAGCTTTTAACTAATTTTATAATATTTTAAAAACTTAAATATATAAATCTATTATAATTAAAGAAATAACAAGTAATTGTATTAAAAATTCATTTTTCATCGAAAAAATTTTTTGCTTTCAGTAAATATTGTCCATATTCATAAAAGCAAATAAAAGTATTTGAAATTATCTTTGTTTTATTGAGTTTTATATGTTACAATTCAGAGCTGATTTTCAGATGGTTCCAATTTAAAAAAAAAAAAAAAAAAAAGAAAAAAAAAAGAAAGAGAGATTGATTTGCTTTCCTCAAAGCATTATGCTTTTAACAAATATAATCACTAAAACTGGGCGTGATTGAATTTCTAGAGTTTTCATAAAATTAGTTGGGGGTGGGGGATATATATATAAAAATTTTTTCCAGGACTTTAAAAAGAAAACATATTTATAATCAGAATATTTACTTTTTAACGTCCAAACGCCAGCGCACTAAATATCTCTTAAAATTTTCCCAAATCGTCACAATTCCATGTAAATGTTCATGCTGAACTCGAACTAACAATTTATGAAGAAACCTACCGTTTTTGGAGTTATCGACCCCCATCACCCATACTGCCATAATGTTCACTAATTCAATGCCGAGTACATCCGGTGGCGCAACCTTAGATTTTGGCCTATTTACTTTCTTTACAAGGAAGAACGCCGTTTCTTCATAATTTAATTGTTAATTCGACTTCAGCATGAACATTTACACGGAATTATGACGATTTGGGAAAATTTTAAGAGATATTTAGCGCGCGGCCATTTGGGAGTTAAAAAGCAAATTTACCGATTTTTTTTAATTAAGAAGAGAATTATATTGCAATTGAATAAACGTAGATACCTTCATGAGATTGCTATATAAAAAAAAAAGAGCATAGCATCATGAAAAAACGTCAAAACAAAAACGTTTTTTTCATCATGCTATGCTCGTTTTTTTTTTTTTAAGCAATCTCATGAAGGTACCTAAATGGATATAGTTTTTAGAACATTTTTTTAATTTTAATGTATTAATTTAATTTACAAAATTACTTTCTATTTTTGTGCATGCGAGCCATGGCTCCGATTCTCTTAGACTTTTTTTTTATCCTAAAATTGTTTCACACTAATGGAATATTTTCAATACCACAGTCTTTTGGTGCTTATACTGCAAATTAATCGTATTTATTTTACACTACTACATGCTTTGATAGGGGTTCTAGAACATTTGTCTAAGAAAAGAATATATGGCTAGAGAATTCTACCTCTAAAAATGTGGCTTGTATTATTAATTACAAACAATGCATGAAAATTAAATGCTTATAAACCACATGTAGTATCTTAAATTACTCTGTAGTGAAAAATCAATGAAATTGAGAATTTTATGCATGCATAAAGTGTTTAATTGAGCAATGGTCCTTAGACGGGTACTATTCCATAAACCAATATCCTTAGACAGGCTTCTCTTAGAGACCCATAATGTTTTTAATTCCGTTTTGATAGCATTGACTAGAGAGGGAAAATAGACAATTCAATAATCGATTATGAAATTAAAAATATTTATTAATGAAGACATATCTTTTCAGTTTAGCATGTTTAATTCTAAAGAATTTATTTAAAAGAATATCGGTGATTAAATTTGAATTTATTGACAAGTGAAACGAAATAAAATGTTTTTTGCAATAGCCAACAAAAAAACGTGACTATTTTACCAAATTCTTTCTACTCGTATTGCAGTTATTTTCTTTTTTAAAGTATTTCATTAGAGAAAATGTATTATTTATTCCACCGATAAAAGTAAATAGTTTAACCTTCTTTCTTACATATTTTATTTCGCCGCTGTTAAAAACCAGTAATTACTAGAGATGAATAAAACTAAAAGTAAAAAAAAAATAAAAAATAAAAGACCATGATTGATGCTGACGGTCGATTGTTTAGAGAACAATTTTGGAAATCATAATGGATTTTCAGAAATTAACAAACACAAAGACTAGACATAACCCATCACTTAATTAATGGAAGCCTCTTCTTACCTCTTCGATCTCCATATAAGTGCCTACCCCTTCTGGAAACATTTCATCGGCAACCACTGCAGAATTCATGGTGATGTCGGAAGTATCAACACTTAACACTGCCCGGAAGTCAACCGATATTGGACATGCGCACTTCGGGCATCACGTGGTCTGCTATCATGTGATGAGGACATTCCAGTAGATAAGTTCCCCCCGCCAGTCAATAAATTGGGTGATTTCTTAATTGTTTACCTACACCACCAAAAAAGAAAAAAACAAAACAAACGGTAATAGTTTTCTGAAGGTTTATTGCTGATGTAATTTGAAGTGTTTTCTTTTATTGTTTCTTGGATTAATATTTCATTTTATTTTTATAATTTTAGCGATTTAAACTTGCTGTTATTTATCTTTTTTTTCTGTTGTAGGTAACCGTTTGTGAAGTAGGTGATAACGAATTTAATAGAACAGCCAAAGCTACCGACACTTCTTACCTCGAATTCACCCGACGAGGTTGATAATTTCTTGAGTTTTCACGGAAAATGAAGGAATTACTGTGTTTAGCGCTTACTTGCGCCTTTCTCTTTGTCGGTAAGTAATTAAATAACTTTAAGTATATTTTAAAAAAAAAAAGAAAGATGCGTAAATCTGTTAGTTTCGAAGTCAAAATCTTTATATTGACATCATCGTCGTCGCCATGTCTCTGCCTAACTTCGTCTTTTTTATTTTATTATTTTTAAATGTTTTACATTTGCAGAATTAAAAAAAAAACTTAAAATAATTCCACCTCCCCAAATATTAAGACTACTTGACTTTGAAACAACGTCAGAATCAAGGATTCTTAATAATACAAAATTTTTTTAATTTTGTTCCTTGTTGTTCTTTTGTTGATAGAATCGCTCATTATTTATTCCCTAGATCCCCTCCTTTTTTTATATATTTATTATTCTATGTATCCAATCTGAAAGAAAAAGTTACGCAACACTGTTTGGTCACGTGATTGTCTTACCATAAAACATACTGAACTTAACCCTCTCCATCCTTAAGAATACTTTGACGTTTCTCTTGAACTTGAATACTTACAAAAAACAAACCTATGTATGTATTGACCTTTTTTTTAAAGGTTTCGGCATGTAACATAAGGACGTGTGTGTGTATATATATATATATATATATACAATGAAATTTAAAACTCTAACATTCAGACCAGTAAATCTACTTAAAAGAAAAAAAAAAGTAATATTTACTTTGTACCTATAAAATAAGGTATAAAGAAAAAATCTTTGTCGGATTTAATTTAAATAATCAATTTCAATATATATATATATATATATATATATATATATAAAAAACACGCGTTTATTTCGCAACGATATTACAAGGTTTTTAGTTCAAAGTCCTATCAACTCATTGTTTTTAGTAACTTAGTCCCAGCCTTGCCTCTTTTCCTCATTATTTATTTTTTAGTCTAACTGAAGAAATACGCACTTATAATATAAACTTACTATTTGTTAAATTGCGCCCAATATTGTTTCAATTTTAATAAGTCTTTTTCTTTCTCTAAAAAAACTCTATTGCATTTCATTATGAAAATGTCATATTTGTCTGGGCGAACCGAGAAACTTGGCCCATCGTTGACACTTTCATTTTTAAATGACATAGAAATTGACTTTCTACGTAAATTTTCACTTACAAACTAAATTTTCAAACCCTTCCCCAAATTCTTTCTTCTCATGTAGCTGTAATGTACTTAGATATTTTGAGATATGGAAGGTATAATAATTAACTCAAACTGATCAACTAATTATATAACTGAATAACAAAAATAAACTTACTAACAAAAATGGACATGCCATTTTCTTTTAAACTGGAAGTCTATTCGGAATTAATTTTATTTTTAGACTTCAGCATAATTGAAACGAATGTAGTAAACATTTTTAAAATTTTGTAAACTAAATTATAATTTGATCCCGCTTTTTTTTTCTTAATCTCCAAAGCTAGAGATTAATTCGAAATATAAGTAACCTTTTAAAAATAATTTACCAGAATTCCTTCCGTTTCTAGTGTCCTATCCTTAGAAAGCTAAATCATGTGGGTAAGTTGGAAGGAAAAAAAAAATACACACGCCCTCCTTTCTCGACTGAATGAACTCGCCTGACAGGTGCTATGTCACGAGTTATGACTTTTTTTTCTTTTTTTTTTTTATATTTTTACTTATTGCCTCTGGGGTGGGGGATGATTTTTTTTTTTTTTTTTTTCCTTTCTCTTCTCTTTCTGAACTTTGTTCTATAAAGCTCATGTTTTGTTTCACTCTCTTTCCTCCTGCTGTAGCATGAATGTCCTTCACTGGGCGGATTGGATGACTAAAATTCATAAGTCTATTTAATAGACTCTATTCTGACGCGTCATTTTTTTTTTTTTTTTTTTTTTTTTTATTCTCTTCAATAAAGAATAGCAGTCTTTTTTTTTTTTTTTTTTTTTTTTTTTTCCCTACTCTGTTCGAGTGAATTAAAGGATTTTTCACCATAAAATTTCACTGGTTCGCGTTAGGTTTCAATTACAATATAAAACTAAAAGTAACTTGTTTTCAATTTTCATTTAAAAAAAAAAAAAAAAAAAAAAAACAATAGAATGGTTTAAAGTTCATTTTAAAACCACTTTTTTTTATTTAACTAGTCAAATCCCTTGGTTAAAAAAAATTTTTGAAAAAAAATGAAAAAGTCCCGTCTTTATCTGTGCTGTGATCATAGCCCTCCACAACTTCATCTTTTTATACTTCTGAGTAAGGATTCTTTTTGTTATCCCCTTCGGTTCTACCATGGCACTTAACCCGTTAATACTCGTTGCTTTCCAACCTCTCTTGCCTCAATGTCCTTTGGAGTGTCAAATTCTCCAAGCCGTTTTTCTCATGTGCCCTAAATTTCAATTGCCTCTTCTAATGTAAAGTATAAGTGTCCATTTATTTATTTTTTTTGTTTTAAAAGTTCCTCGTTGGTCACATGTTCAGTCCATGGTGATCTCAGTATCCTACGGCAGAACCACATCTGTCTCCTATTTTACTTGAAATAGGTAGCCAATCATTAATTTTTTATTTTATTTTTTTGCAAATTTAAATACCATATCTAACTTTGTAAAAGGTCAGCTGTACGTAAATTAAGAGGACAACAATTCCCAAGTACTTTGTTGTTTCTTTTAGAAACTGTTAGAGATTTTATAACTTTTGTTCAAAATGGAAATAATTCTAAAGTCCCACCTTTTTTTAGCTGGCTACTCTTTTCTATTGAAAGAATAATAATTTTATAACTTAGATTCAGAATAATTATATTAAAAAAAACTCATTGAGTGCAATTAGCTTTTTACACTAAACAGCTTAAAAGCAATGAAACTGAAAAGTATCAAATCACTTTTTTTTTTTTTTTTTTTTTTTTTTTTTTTTTTTTTTTTTTAGATAAAAATTAATTTTAAGTTTCATAACCGTTTAACTTGTATTTAAATTATTGATTATAAGGTTAAATATAATCCCCCCCTTCTCTTCAATGCATCAACAATTACCAGCGTTTGGACTCTTGCAATGGTACACGCGTAAACAAACTGCTAATATCATATGACTACATAAACTTATCCTCTGTCCTGAATGAAATGTTATAGTGACTTTCCAAACGTAGCTTAGATGTGGCACAAGACCGAAAATAGGGGAGCACCCAGTGAGGATTGAACTGTCATAATTGTCCTAGCAAGACAAGTTTGCTAACTATTACACTGCTTCGAGGTGCCCCATGAAATGTTCTGTATATAATTGGTGAAAGTAAGAATCTTTTATGCAATTACTTGCATAACATTCCAGCACAGAAGCTGCTGTTGCTGCAACACTGTCAACTGTTTTGCCAACTTGTGCTGCATAGATCCTATCATGGATAAAATCACACAAGGGAACATTTCTTTTGAATTTTTGGTAAACCATACCATCATGGTTGTATGGGACCCATCAACTTTATAATTGTCCACCAGGACTTGAATTTTTAACCGAACTAAGTAAATACTTTTGAAAGTTAAACTGACTTCATCTTAATGAGTGTTTTGTCCAGCCCCAACTTTATAAATTTGTCCCATCACTATCTTGATGATATAATTGTCGTTACTACCCCTAATACCCTTATCGGGTTCTGATCAGATTTATGATGCAAGGAATGAAAACCTGAAAATGTTTGCACTGCCATTTAAATTTGGTATCATCAACTGGTGGGTACTGGCATGGGTGAAATTAGTGAGCCTAAACTTGTGGTGGGTTGATGTGGTGGCATTTTGAATTCCACAAAGAATTACAAATCCAGGCAATAAACCAAATAGTTCGGTGGTAAACAATAGATATTTGAATTCAAAACATCTCCTTATTAAATATGGACAAACTGGCAAGCCTTTTACTTAGAAATTACTACTTTTGGTTATTGATTTGTGAAGTGGCATACCTGTTTCGCAAACTATTATATCTCAGCTGTGACTTCCAGAGGCTGACTTTTAAGGTCAGATAAAAATCAAAATAAAGTTGATTTTGATTGGCTGAACTAGCATGGGAATGGTAGATTGAGAAAGGTCTTTCAGGAAGTTGGTTGTCAAACTTCAAGCAATGTAGATTTGTTCCGTTTTGTGTCTGAAATGTCTCCCCAGTGAGGGAGAACAACCCTCACTGGATAGTTAGTAAATATCGTCCTGAATAAAATGGTTCCAATTTTTTGTATTGGAGTCTTTTCATTGCCGGACTGAATCAACTAGCAGTCGCCGGCCAAGAGAAGACTGGATGAGCCACCCCATCAGTGGACTATACAACATACCCACACTCAATAGCTGGGTGAAATTATTGAGCCTAACCTTTTGTGTCAGTAACATAGATGGTACCCAATATTGTGTGTGTCTTGTCAATATAATACCAAGAAATCTGAACTCTCCTCCTTAATTTCTCAATAATAGTCAACCAAAACTGATCTTTGTGGGATTCCTTCTATTCTAAACAGCTGAAAAATAATTTTCAAACATAAATACCAATTTCTTAATTATCATTGTTCTGTGTTTATTGAATTTTTTTTTTTTTTTTTTTTTTTAAATGTACTTAAGTTTAGGATTACAGGACAAAATGCTGTTGTTGACCAAATGCCACAGGCTACATGTGTAAATAAACCTTTTCATTGTTTTAAGCAATTAATGACTGCATTTACAAAATCAATTTAATTAATCCTTAAGCTTAATTGACTTTAAAAAGAATCTACAACAAATACTAGATTCCCCCCCCACAAAAAAAAACTTAAATTTGCTTACAATTTTCTTTTAGTGGTGGTTCAATAGACAAGTGAACATGCTGTTTTGAAAATGCTTAAAATCTTTAAATATGAATTTGCTTTAAGCTATTGTCTTCAAACTAAAACCAAAATTTAACTTCATAGACACTTAAATTAAAATCTGGTTTTCAGATTATGTGCTTTTGACTAAATATTTTTCCTTTTTAGATCTCTCAATCAACCATTTATGAACATCTCCGGAATTTTCCTCCCTTTTAGTAATGAATTTTTTTTTTTTTTTTTTTTTTTTTTTTTTACCAAAACTTTAATATAATTTGCATGGATTTGTATTTAATTAACTAACATTTCTTATAGAAAAACTTTTGGCAAACAATTGTCAGGCTTTGAGTGCAAAGAGTTATTCTAAGTTTTTTTTTTTTTTTTTTTTTTCTTTCTTCCTCTCTATCATTTTAGCCTGTCTATATTAGCAAACCTTTTTCTCTTCATACAAGAAAAGGCTGTTTTTCATTAACTAAATTGTGCAATAATTGATGATAAAAGAAAATTCAGTTCAATTGTGACTACTTCAACAATGACAGAATTTTTAAGCAAGCTTTAATCTACATACTACTTAAGCTAACATATTCAGAAGAAATTAAGTATTTAATTACACTCTAATCTACAATTTACGCCATTGTATGAAATGTGCATTTTTTTTTTTTTTTTTTTTTTTTTTTATAAACTTCTGTTTCTTGCTGGAAAATGCATGCAAGGGAAGACAACTATTCTTTATCCATTGTGCATATAAATGAACAAATTCTGCCTTTTTTTTTTTTTTTTTTTTTTTTTTTTCACAACTCCTGTTTCAGTTAACAGGAAATGTCATTAAGTTTTAGGCAAACTAAATTTCTGAAGTAACTCTAAAATGGTATTGCTTTTATTTCTTACTTTTTTTAATGCAAATACATGAGCTTATTTACTATGGGTTTGTAAACTTTATATATGCTTCACAGAAAATAAAAAATTAAGTGAAACATTTCAATTTGAGTAAGGAAATGAATACTGTAAATTATGAATTTAAAGAAAAAAAATTGAATAAAGTTTTTTGATAGATTCAATAAATATTTAGCTTTTTGAAAACCTTCCAAGAAAGTTGATAAGAAATACCTGTGAAAATTTAAGTTTTGCTATTTTAAATTTTAGTAAATATTAAGTTAATGATGGAATAAACTCATGGCAAGTTCCACGACAAAATATCTGTAATAATTCCTTTGTTGCATTATTTGAGCTTAACAACTTTGATAGAAATATTGCAATAACAAAGTATGGATGAAAGTGGCGGGGGGGGGACAGTACTAATAAAGATTTGAAATGGGCAACCTTTCCATTTCACTAACACAGATGTTAACCAATTTCATTTTCTCACTGAAACCAAGTAGCATGTCTGATGTCTTTTGAACTTTTTTAACTGATCTAAACTAATTAGTCTATTATGAGACATGCAGGGCATAATGATCTTGCTAAGTGGGAGATGAGCAGCATTTTATATAAAATATTTTAAGTTGTTTTATAGGCTATGCAAAGGCATTTAACAAAGTATACCACAAATATCTGTTACAGCTGCTCAGCAACCTTGACATATTTGGGAAAGACATTAGAATAATCAAGAACCTATACTGGCAGCAAACTGTCTGTATATAGACAGAAAATGAGTTCAGCAGATATACAAAAATAGAAAGGGGGTGCAAGACAAGGATGTTTCTTCTCACAGGATTTATTCAACTTGTGAGATAATTCTGAGAGAACTAGAAGTCCTACCAGTCATTATAGGTGGTCACAATCTTAACACTAAGATATGCAGATGGCACAGTGTTGTTAGACATAGAAAACTACAAAACCTCCTACAGAAGATAGAAAAGCGAGAAGAAAGGACTAAACATAAACTACAAGACAGAATGCCTGGTCATCAGCAAAAGGGTGAGCCCAAAATGTAAATTACAGGTTGGGGATACTAAAATCAGACAGGTACAGAAATTTAAATAAGTGTTCTAACAGAGGACAGAAAATGTGACACTGGGGCCTGAAGACATAGTAGCATGGCCAAAGAAGCATTCCGAAAGCTAAGCAGATTATTAAGACAGGAAAATTTTATTAGAAATGAAGAGTACTGAACTGTTACACAATATCTTCTATCCTCTTATGTGGCAATGAATGCTGAAAAATCTCAGATGAAGAGACTTGAAGCAACAGAAATGTCTTCTTACAGAAAGATGCTGAGGATGCTATGGACCAAACATCCGAGCAACAAGTTTTAGAGAAAATGGAAACAAAAAGAACTCAACATCATGGAGAGGCAGTTAAAATTTCTGGGGTACATAATGAGGAAGGCGGGCTTGGAAAATCTGATACTCACAGGACAGATTGAGGGACAGGGGAAAGCAGCACATAACATACTTGATGAGTTTGAAGAAATGGATGGTAGAACAGGGTTTGAGAGAAATAAAAGGACACAATTTAGAGCTACAAAGGACAGGAGAAAGTAGAGGGCCATGATTTAGTCATGTCCTGAAATGACATGGCACATGAAAGAAATTTTTTAAAAAGGAAATGTCTAAGATCATTACCTTGTCCTACATGAAATGTAATTTGGTTTTATTTTTATTATATAAAATAATGAAAATATTAGATGATGTATTCCAAATTCACACAAGAAGCATCACTGAATACAAAAATTTAAAATTGGGTAGGTGTGTGTCAGGAGGGGGTGAACATAGCTTATCTTTTTATGGCTTTTTAGTAAATCTGTATTGTTTTTACTTTGCTCAGTCTCTGCCTTCATTCAATGAACTGGAGTTGACCATTTAATGTTCATAAAACATTAAGTACAAAATTGACTTAAGTATAGATTTGCTATGAAGTTGTCACAGACTAATGTCTTAAAATGTTAAATTTTTATGATTATACTTAAGTTTTGGCAGAAATTCATCAGCTTAACTGATTAAAAAAAAAAAAAATGAACAAAGGTATGTTTTAGTTTAACTGGGCTGGGTGGAATATGACTGATCTATCCTCAACAAGTTCTGTTCAAATAACATTAGGAACAGTAAACTTAAACTGTTCATTTAAGATATGACTTCAAAATGAAGCCCTATCCCTTGAAAATGGAGTGGTGGGGGTAAAGAAATGTAACAGTTTGGCCCGAAATTTGAAAACTCTGAGCTGTATGCTGCATTTTTTATGCAATACTTGTAGACCAGAGAAAATGTTTGGGAGAACCATAGCAATTCTCAACCCCCTGAGAGACAAGTCTGCATGGCTGATGCTAACCTCCAGGAAAGTGACTTGTGCCTTCTTGGGCTAACATTCTCAGCTGACATGAGGTGGAAAGACTATATGGTATCCATTGGTAGGTCAGCTGCTAAGAAAATTGCCTGACAACTTTTCTCTACAGAATCTATCTTGCATATCTATAAGTCTACCATTCATCCATGCCTAAAATATTGCTGACATGGTCTGGTGTCCCTGCTATTTACCTTGAGCTCCTTGATAAAATCCAAAGAAGAATCACCAATATTATTGGTCCTGATCTGGCAGCTCTTTCATTTTCCCACCACTGGAAGGTTGCTTTGCTGTGTCATTTCTATGCATACTTTCATGGTAATTGTTTGGATGAGCTCTTTGCTATGGTAACTAGACTTTTGAATTTAATCTCATTACTAGACTGGCAACAAGATTTCATCAATTTACAGTTGAGCTGGCTACATGGTTCTATGCTAACTGTTTTTCTTGCACTTATTGCTTAGGGAACTCCCTTCTGGTTTCCAGTCAACTCAAATCTGCAAAAACTTAAATGCAATGTCAATTGTTATCTACTGTTCTGATGACTCTTTTCTCTTCCTGCTTATTAATGTTTCTGTTCCTAATTTTTTTCACTTTTGTATCTTGCTGGCTTTACTGCTTTGCATGGGATGATAGAAATTTAACAAAAAACCCTCCATTGACCTAGTGATGTATATTACATGATAGTAGATTCTTAAGGACCATTTGGCCTAAAATTTTAAGACAGGCCTTGTAAAAAGTATATACTTTTAAGGCAGATGAGCATCATTACTAAATGTATTTGCATATTCAGTGCAGTGAGATATACCCTATCTTTTTTTAAAGGAATTTATGCAGTTCCTGCATAGTTACCATATACAATTAGTTCAAAAGCCATTTCGTACTATAACTGAAATGTAGTTATGATAATAGGACATTGGCTTGAGTAAATCAGTTTTTTCTCATTTTAGATAATTTTATTACTGAGGTGATTGAAAAAAAAATTTATTTGTAATGTTTACAAATATCCTGCAATACTTGTCCAATTTCCTACTGTCATATGTCTATGCCATTCTTGACCCATTGGCTTTGTGACAATTCTCTTACCTGATATTTTCTTTGAAAAATGTGAACCTTTGTGTACTGTTAATATCTTCATTTAAATCTACCAACAATTTAAAAATTGTCTACCACTTGAATGTAAACTTTTCTCTTTCTCTCAAAGGTTCCCTCTCTCAGAATTATTCTAGTACGCCTCACAGTACTACAAATAACACAATAACAACCATCACCACTACTACCACTACCACCACCACCACCACCACCACCCCAACTACAGCTAGCCATCTGACAACAACACCACCACCACCACCACCACCACTTCCAGAGAAAGGAAAATTTTTCGTTAAGAATTGCTTAGAATTGGATGCAAACATTCTGATTTTTGAAAAATCTATAACTGTAAGTATTTAAATTTCTCATTTGTGTAACACTTTCAATGCTCATAGAATTTGGCTTGATATCAATGTAATGTCCATGTCACTTTCCTGGACTTTAGCATAAAAAAAAAAACAATCTGCTTAAGTCTCTGAATAATCTAAAAGTAAATGTTGGAGCCACCTCCCTGTCATGAGACATTTCTTGTTTTTAAAATAACATAAAATGTATTTTACTCAAATTTCAAAGTAAAATCCAATCGATCACTTATCAGATTCTTGTGTAATGTTCCAATACAATTTTGCTTGCATAAACTCTTAATGTGATGATTGAAATGAATCTAAAATCAGTTTAGTTTATAAACAGCTTAACGCATTCTGCACCCTCATTGTTGTCAATACAATGTTTATCTCTAAAAAAAAAAAAAAAAAATTTGAATTGTCTGTCTGATAAATTTAAATCTTTTATGAGGATTCATCTTAATAACTGACCACTCTTAGATTGGCCATTTCTCAGTCTCAACTTGGGTTGTCCCTTCTTTCCCAATTTGACTTCTTTCAAACTCTTTTCTACTTGGAGGACCTGGTCTTTTGAGCCTTTAACTTGTCACTTCAGATGTTCTAAGGACTCCCTTATCATACAAAAGGTGACTCTATTTACATTATTCAGACTAAATAGATATGGTGACAAAGATGAGGACAATAGTCCGAATAATGTAAATAGTATACATAATACCTAATCTCAGGAATATAGACAGATACCAAAAGGTGACTCAATGGCGGATCTTAAATTTTTCATCATGCCTGCTTTCTGAAAAATTTTAGCTTAATTTAAAAAAAAAAATCAGATATAAACTGTTTGAAACCATCACTAATTTTATGAAATAACTTTTCTTTCTTTTTTTTTATCTTTTTTTTTTTTCTTTTTTTTTTCTCTACCTCTCTCTAGGAAAATATTTCCTCATTAAACTACACTACTGGTGGTGATTGCGGCCCAAAACGCTCCCATTTAACCATTTTTTGGAAGGGAAAGAATAACATTACTTTCAATTTTTCAAACATCAATGGCACAGTATATCTTGAAGAAGTGACTATTGGACTTTTGAGTGAGTTTTTAAACATTTTCTGCTTTTGTGTAATCCACAACAGTTCTTAATTCTTCAGCTGATAATTAAGAATAACCTGATTGTTTTTAAAGTCTTCTATTCTGAGTCTTTTGAGGAAATAATGATTCCATAAATAAAGAGATAATAGCAATTACTTTGGGACACATCAATGAGGGATACATGTTCAACTGAAACTTTGCTCTCTCAGCACTTTATATATATAACTCAATCTCTATATCTATAAAAATTGACATTTGGAAAAAAAAAACCTTCATGTAAGGTATGTTTCAAAAATGATATCCAATGATGCATTTTGCCTCTATGGCAAGTGTTGTCTGTATTCATTTGTGTGTTTAAAATAAAGCTTTTATTATTTTTCCCAATCTGGCGTTGTTAGACTAAAAAAGAAAATAAGTGGCTTTGTTTTTTTTTTTTTTTTTTTTTAAACTCTCAAGAAACACCAGCTTGGGAAAAATAAAAGCTTGTATTATTTTAAACACACATAAATACATGCATACATTTTTCATTATCCATCTGAAGATGAATAATGAAAAAAAAAATAGTCTTCATTGCGACACAGAAATTACTATGTTTCGAAACCGAAACTCTAGTCCTAAAGTTCAATTTCAAAATTAAACTTAAAATTTAGAGCATGGTTTCATTCCTGAGCAATGATAAGAATAACTGTTAAGAGTTAAAAATGATCTTCCTCCAATATTTAAGCCAATCAGTTACAGTATAAATGAATTCTGGTTGCATGTATTGAGAATTGTTTTTGTTCATTGAATGAAATAGATATAATTTCAACTCTTCTGAAGACTCTACTGGAATGCTTTAAAAAAGCTCACCTTGCCTTATCAAATAAGACATTTGATCAAAAACTAAAAGAAGCCCTTCTTTAACATGAAATGAATTTGGTTTGTTTGCTTCAATTTTAAATATTCTCATTGTGAAGTAAGTTTGCAAATCTCTTAAACAGAGCTAAAAAAAAAAAAAAATTTTTTTTTCCTTCCAGATGGTTCTGATTCAAAGACCTTTCATCAGGAATTGTCTTCTGAGAAAAATTTCTATTCATGTCATGAAATGGTGTTACAGCTTAAAGATTACAATGTCACACTTGATGGTCTAAAAGTTCAGGCATTTCATTATAATTCAACTTTTAGTAAAAATGGTAAGTAAAGAATTGAAGAAACTGACAACCTATTAAAAAAAAAAAATGGGCCTGCATGAAAACTAGTACACTTGTTTAAAAATTCATATAAAGTTAGTCAGGTAATTGAGTTTTTATTTTTTTCCTTTACACCCACCTGATTTTGTCTGGATCAAGGCACCTTTTAGGGCCACAGTTGTCAACACTTTGGAAAGTGCAGGCCAGACAGTTATGCAGTATCTCAGGGGAAGGGACATTATATCATATTATAATAAACTGTCTTGACCTCAGACCACTGTCCAGAAGGTTGGTCTGGAGGTTTAAAGAAAAAAAACTTATTTAAACAGGGTTTCTTTTTATCTTACTGCAGGAATAACAAGATAAAAACTAACAATTAACAAAAGTGCAAATTCCTTGCTATGGTTAAGTTGGCGGTCTGGACAAAAATCCTTCGGTGGCAGGGGTGTTGCTGAACCCTGTTTTAGGGTATAATAATGGTTCACAATACTTGTTTACCAGTGCCTTAGACTTAGTACCCAAATAAAGTTGTACTTATGGTAATTTCAGTTTACATGGCGAGTGAGGGGGTATTTTAAACTAGAGGATTACATTTCAAGTCATTTGCCTAAATAGGCAAACTATTGTCAGCTTGCTTGTAATTGACATGGATAGTCACGAGCCCTGTCCCCCAGAGATTTTATGCAGATAGTCTGTAGAAAACCTTTTCCTCTAACTTTGCTTTAACAGAAACAAATCTTTATAAATTGTCTTAAAATTTATCAAAACAGTGCTTCCCATTATATCTTAATGTGGTTTTTGTTGCTTCTCTTATTTGAAAAGGTACAATCTGTGAAGCCAAAACGACTGTCACTCCTGCAACTTCAACTACTCCTACCACACACAGTCCATCAACACCAAAGCCCACGCCTAGCTTGGCAACTGACAATTATGTTATCAATGGATCAGTGAATGGAACCAATGTTTCTTGTCTTGTGATGAAAGCTGCCATCAAATTCAGTATTCCATATGAAGGCAAAAAAGGGGTATTTTTTTTTTTTTTTTTTTTTTTGCAGCAACTCTTTACTTGTTTAATAACAGCACACTTAAACCTGCCTAAAAAAATTAAAAAAAAAAATTTTATGCTATATTTACAGTATGCAAACCAAAAAATGTACATAATATAGGTCTGATTTTTAAATTTGTTTACTGTTCAAGATAGTGTTATGTAAACCTTTAGAAATATTTACAAATATCAGATTAAAGCTAATCTGAAGTTGATTGAACATATGTCAGAATTAGAAATCTGGTACTATTCATTTGGCAACCAGATTGTTGGACTGGAATTGGTATGTCATGTATGCAAATACAATTTCTCCAAATTAATTTGAATATTCATTCAGAATTCTGAAAAAGATTTCCAATTATTGTAAAGTTGAATAATATTTTAAAATAATATAAAACTAAGAACTTGTGAAGATGGATTCATACCTTTCCCCAAGGGCATATGCACACAAGTGAATATAACAGACCCAGCTGGAATTGGAACTCTATTCTCCAATTAAGAATTCTGCGCCATTATCCATTACATCAACCATATGTCTAGGCTTACTGTATCTGGTATTGCCACCAATTTAGGTACTGACCAGGTTCAATGTTGCTTAACTTCAGGGATTGTACTGAAACTGATGTTTCAATGTAATGTGGCCACAAACTATTCTTGTTCAACACACTCCTCTAGAACTAAACTCTGAACAGGCTATCTGGTATCTAATTTTACCCTTGAATAGCAAGACTTGTGGAGGACATGTTTAGCATGAAACAAAAGCTCAGCTTCTGCAGGTAGGTAATCTGAAACAGAGCACTAAAGTTTGAAAAACTCTGCCTAAGACCCCAGTAAATGTTTTGACGTAAACATTTGATCCCTTTCATCTGACCTTAAAAAGGAGATAAAAGAATTGTTTAGATAAAGTGAATATCTAACCATCACTTTTTTTTCTTTCTCTTTTTTTTATTTATACAGAATCATACTTACACTAGAAATATTGGTAGCTCCCCTATGTATCAAGGTAATTGCACTGATGTAAGCAATACACTGCAAATAACCACTGGTCCAGTTACCCTGGAGTTCATGTTTGAGAAGGCTGGCAAGAAATATTCTTTGCAGCAATTAAAATTGATAGCCAACACAACATCTTTTAAAGATGCGAAAGGTAAGTTTTGTACACGCGCACACGCGTCTTGCTTCTCTGGTACTTAAAAAAAAAAAAATAAATAAATAAATAAAAAAAATAAACCTTCTTCTCTATAAACTGCGAGGATTGCTTTAAGAAATAATTTTCAGATAATTTGCTGTCTGATTTAAATAAAAGTAATTGTTTAAACAGCCCTTATTGAAAATTTTTTTTTAAACCTATCATTTCTATCAAAAAAACCATTTTAACTGTAGCTAGACTCTTCATTGCCCTGCTGACAGCCTGTTTCTAAAAATCCTATTTACAGGTATGACAATTGTATCTAACTACACCAATACCAAAACATTCCAACTGAAACTGGGAGACTCTTATTCCTGCAAGTCACAGACAACTCTTCATCTTTCTTCAAATGTTGATGTTTTCATCACCAACTTAAACCTGGAAGCATTTAGAAAATCTAACACTACTGTGATTGATGGTAAAAGTGAGTAATTACTTCACTTAGTTTCCTCTCTTCCTTCCTTCTGCCATTGATAACCTAAACATAAAACCTCTTGGTAGTTAGAGGATAAAAAATAACAATGTCATCTAAACTTTCTGATTTACAAGCAAAATTTGTCTATTTGTTCCTCATGTCTTCAATTTTTCTGATTTATATGAACTTGGAATAATGATCAATGTAACTAACATATTACGACAAATCAATTTGTCTGTTAGAACTTGCATGTGGAATTCTTTGCATATGGAGTGACACATATCTTACTTGAAATTTATATTGATGCTCAGTTACTTTAAATGCTGTATTGATCCATGAAAATCTTTGAATTATTGAACTCTGTCTTATTTTAATCTTAAGTCTTTTCTAATTGCATAATTTGCATTCTCTACTTGAGTCTTTCCTAATTGCATTCTCTACTTGAGTCTTTCCTAATTGCATTCTCTACTTGAGTCTTTCCTAATTGCATTCTCTACTTGAGTCTTTCCTAATTGCATTCTCTACTTGAGTCTTTCCTAATTGCATTCTCTACTTGAGTCTTTCCTAATTGCATTCTCTACTTGAGTCTTTCCTAATTGCATTCTCTACTTGAGTCTTTCCTAATTGCATTCTCTACTTGAGTCTTTCTAATTGCATTCTCTACTTGAGTCTTTCCTAATTGCATTCTCTACTTGAGTCTTTCCTAATTGCATTCTCTACTTGAGTCTTTCCTAATTGCATTCTCTACTTGAGTCTTTCCTACTTGAGTCTTTCCTAATTGCATTCTCTACTTGAGTCTTTCCTAATTGCATTCTCTACTTGAGTCTTTCCTAATTGCATTCTCTACTTGAGTCTTTCCTAATTGCATTCTCTACTTGAGTCTTTCCTAATTGCATTCTCTACTTGAGTCTTTCCTAATTGCATTCTCTACTTGAGTCTTTCCTAATTGCATTCTCTACTTGAGTCTTTCCTAATTGCATTCTCTCTAATTGCATTCTCTATTCTCTGAGTCTTTCCTAATTGCATTCTCTACTTGAGTCTTTCCTAATTGCATTCTCTACTTGAGTCTTTCCTAATTGCATTCTCTACTTGAGTCTTTCCTAATTGCATTCTCTACTTGAGTTCTTTCTTTCTAATTGCATTCTCTACTTTCTTTCTAATTGCATTCTCTACTTGAGTCTTTCCTAATTGCATTCTCTACTTGAGTCTTTCCTAATTGCATTCTCTACTTGAGTCTTTCCTAATTGCATTCTCTACTTGGAGTCTTTCTAATTGCATTCTCTACTTGAGTCTTTCCTAATTGCATTCTCTACTTGAGTCTTTCTAATTGCATTCTCTACTTGAGTCTTTCTAATTGCATTCTCTACTTGAGTCTTTCTAATTGCATTCTCTACTTGAGTCTTTCCTAATTGCATTCTCTACTTGAGTCTTTCCTAATTGCATTCTCTACTTGAGTCTTTCCTAATTGCATTCTCTACTTGAGTCTTTCCTAATTGCATTCTCTACTTGAGTCTTTCCTAATTGCATTCTCTACTTGAGTCTTTCCCCTAATTGCATTCTCTACTTGAGTCTTTCCTAATTGCATTCTCTACTTGAGTCTTTCCTAATTGCATTCTCTACTTGAGTCTTTCCTAATTGCATTCTCTACTTGAGTCTTTCCTAATTGCATTCTCTACTTGAGTCTTTCCTAATTGCATTCTCTACTTGATTTTCTAATTGCATTCTCTACTTGAGTCTTTCCTAATTGCATTCTCTTGAGTCTTTCTAATTGAGTCTTTCCTAATTGCATTCTCTACTTGAGTCTTTCCTAATTGCATTCTCTAGTCTTTCCTAATTGCATTCTCTGCTTGAGTCTTTCCTAATTGCATTCTCTACTTGAGTCTTTCCTAATTGCATTCTCTACTTGAGTCTTTCCTAATTGCATTCTCTACTTGAGTCTTTCCTAATTGCATTCTCTACTTGAGTCTTTCCTAATTGCATTCTCTACTTGAGTCTTTCCCTAATTGCATTCTCTACTTGGAGTCTTTCCTAATTGCATTCTCTGCTTGAGTTTTCTAATTGCATTCTCTACTTGAGTCTTTCCCTAATTGCATTCTCTATTCTCTATTGCTTCTCTTGAGTCTTTCCTAATTGCATTCTCTACTTGAGTCTTTCTAATTGCATTCTCTACTTGAGTCTTTCCTAATTGCATTCTCTACTTGAGTCTTTCCTAATTGCATTCTCTACTTGAGTCTTTCCTAATTGCATTCTCTACTTGAGTCTTTCCTAATTGCATTCTCTACTTGAGTCTTTCCTAATTGCATTCTCTACTTGAGTCTTTCCTAATTGCATTCTCTACTTGAGCCATGACTTTTATTGTAGCTGAATTGAAACCCTTATGAGCTCAAATTTCAACTTGTGTGTTTATCAGTCAAACTTCTAACATTTTTTTGTTTAAAATCCTGACTCTGTTTTTTTTTTTTTTTTTTTTTTTCCCTCTTCCTTTCAGTGGTGATCTGCCCTGCAGATCAGAAAACCAACAGCATTGTGCCTATTGCTGTGGGAGCTGCTCTGGCCGGTCTTGTGGTGGTTGTACTTATTGCTTATTTGATTGGTCGCAAACGAAGTCGGAGAGGCTATGAGTCTGTATAAAGATCAGTGCAAATCGTCTTAGAGTGTTTTTTTTTTTTTTATATATATATATATATATACACACACACACACACACACACACACAATCTCTTTTGAAATCACATGGAAATTAGGGAAATAAAAATTTAAAAAAAATTATACTTTTATAGTAACTTGATTGAATTATTATTGGACCACCTTTTTTTTTTTTTTTTTTTTTATACAAGATCTAATTTCCAGATCACTCTTGCTGGATTGTCTTACTCAAATACACTTCTGACTTTATGAAAAAGTGAAAACAAATCTATCTACTTAGCTACAGCTCTTTTTGGTATGTTTTTATTTTATTTTATTTTATTTTTCCTCTCTTGCCTCAGAATTTCAGAGTAGTCATTGAGTTGCTATCAGCAAACTTCAAATTCTCAATGCTAGTGTCTGATCAAGTTACATAAAGGCAATTGGTTGGACAACTCTAAATGCTGTTGGCAACTCTACAAATCATCTTTAATTTGACTAAGACTAGCTAAATAAGTAGCATTCATTTCTCAGCTTACACATTTAGTGCAGTAGATGTTTTTGTAACATTGGCTGCAAATTGTCTTTGGTTAGCTGAAAATGTCTCTAGCATTTTTGTTTAAAATAAATTCCTTGAAGTATTTCTTTAAATAAATCTGCACTTATGAATTTTAACCTAATCTTCTTCAAATCTTGAAGGTTTGAAAATAGAAGCAAATCTCTTAAGATAATTCTATCTACACTAACAAATTGGACTTGTCTTTTTTTTTTTTTTTTTAATCAACCCGAGACTTGGTTCTAGAAAATACTAACCTTATCCAAAATGGAAAGCTGGGTAGTTTTCACTCAAAGATATCAGCAGACTAATTGCTTTAAGGAATCTGTTTTAAACACATAACTGTAATTTTCAGTTTGAAGCTAATTTGTGTTTATGAAAATTGTGGTCTATCAAATTTTAATTTTAAAAAAATAAGGGAAAAAAAAAAAAATGGCCTTTTCACAATATGAGTCCAACTTGAACATTGGCTTGAAAAAGACAACTGCTCCATTGGCTGTGAAATAAAGTATTGAACCACACAACCTGAAGCTTTCCTCTTACAAATTTCTATAACATCTCCCATTTTTCTTTCTTTCTCTGTACAGCTTCATTTTAGACAATAAAGATTTTTTATTTTTTTAAAATTAACCTTTTTTTAAAACTCTAAAGAGGCAAGATTTTTTTTTCTTTCCTAAGTACAATTCTTGAAGATAAAATCTGTAATGTGGGCAATTAAGTTAATTTTGTGTAAATAGTGTACCCTCCTTTCTTTGCTTATTTTCTCTTGGCCAAACCTGGAGTAGGTAGGGAACTGAATTGCACTATATGAAAAAAAAAAAAAAAAAAAATCTTCACTTTAAATTTCCAAGATTTGTGCTCTATGGAGAAACCCACAATTTCTAAATATTGGGACTTGGAAAAGATTTTCTCTCTCTCTCTCTCTCTCTATACATATATATATATATATATATATATATATATATATATATATATATATATATATATATATATATATATATATATATATCACTTGAATCCCCCCCCTTCAAAGTTTTAAGAGTTGTTTTTAGTCTCTTCTGTTAAATGTCTGCCATTCTAAATGTGTCATCTGCACAAGACAAGCTTTCTTCTAGACTAAATCCAAGTTTTCTACTTATAAAATCCTATAATGCTTTTCCCTGTTTTCTCATTGTAATCTAACCTATTGATGGAAGGATATTGCAGATTTGTGAATGTTCCTGATAAGGTCTCATTGTGTCAAGTTTACTCCTTGGATGGTTAATTGTATGGAGAAGATGTTTGGTCATCCTCACATCAAAGAAATTTTTTACATCAAACTCTAGATAAAATAAGCTAATGGTTTACTTTTGTTGCCTATAATTCTGATATTGACCCTTCAAGCCTTTGTGGATTCCCCTTGAGGATTTGATCTCATGAAATTAGTATGACTAATATATTGAATAATCATCACTTACAGAAATTTCGATGTCATCTAGTTAAACTTTGAAAAGTGAGTTGGCTATAAACTGATATCTCCAGGGCCTCTCATTATGAACAATAATATTTTCCTCCTCTTTAGATAAAAATCATCATAAAAACCAGCTTGCTTTCAAGCAGCCACAATAACTAAGAGATTTATTTGTAAATACTTTGTTGTACATGAAATGAAAAAGGAAAAAAAAAAACCCTCTTTGCTTTTCGTCTAATTCTTCAAACAAGATCAAAAGAGAATGTATGTAAGAGATGAATGAGCCACAGATTCTCTTTCAGAAAGATGTCTTAGAGGTAGTAAATCACTCTTTGACATGCACGCATGAACCTGTGTCAATTTAGTTGATTAACATTAGGCACCCAGTGAGAATGTCGCTTCTACATATGTTAATTAGGTTTTGCATTTTCTCAAATGATATTTTAACTGGGTATATGGGGTTTCAGTTTGCATGCCTTTTTTTTTTTTTTTTTTTGTTTCCTCCCCCTTCCAAATTAGATGCCAACTCTGACATGTAATTACTAAAAAGATCTTTGTATTAAATGTTGAATTAAAAAAATAAAACTTTTTTTTTTTTAACAAATACTGAAGTTTACTTAGTATATTTGTAAAATTCTTTGAGTTAATGATTAATGGCCATCAATTTTAATAAACCTTTAATTTCTTCAATAGATTAAATGTATTAATGCTAGTACCTTTTTGTGATAGTAAAAATAAAATCTTAACCCATCAACTGTGAATGATTAACTCCTGCCATTTGACTATAAGTTTCTTGGTCAACTGATATTGTAAGAGCTGTAATCACTAAATTGAAAACCTTGATATTTACTGGATATTCAAATTTGGCTGTATTTGATTGTTAGGGTGTTGACTAAACTCTTCCCATAAATGTGGGGTTCCTAGTATAAGGATTGAACTAGTACTGGTTCATTAGGACACCACACTTGCTAATCATTGAGCAATAAAATAAAACCTTTTTACTTTTTTTTTTTTTTTTTTTTTTTTTTTTTTTTATTATCCAATCTTTTTAATTCTGTCAATGTAATTGGTTCAACTGTAATATTTTTGCATTAATGCCATAATCATCATAAAAATGCATAATTGAGATTCACTTTTGAACTGACAAAAATCTTAAATACTAGTCCCAGAGTTCTGAAAGCTGGGTAAAATTCTTCAAATTTTAGAAAAATAACTTGCGTAGCATTTTTGTGGAGGTTTAGGTTTTTTTTCTTTTTCTTCTCTTCCCCCAACCTTGCAAATCTCTTGGCCAATTTTTCCTATGCTATACAACTTTTTCTTTCTTGATCTTAACTTTTTTTTTTTTTTTTTTCTCTCCTCATTTGTGATGTTTGGTCTTCTGACATGAAGCATTGTTATTAAAGTCAGAAATATATATTTTTTTTTTTTTTTTTTTTTCCTCCTCACTCTTTCTCCATCACTTTCCCAACTTGTCCTCTGCCTGAATTCTGTATTTTTAGGTCATGTCCTTCTGCCTGGTACTAAAAATGAATGGGGGTGGGTGTATAGAAAATAAGATGTATATGCCTCTATTTTGTTAATAAATTTTCTTAATAATTCACTCACTGTCTGGTTTTGTGTTGTTTTATATTTTTTTTTTTTTTTTTTTTTTTAACCTGGTTTCTTTCTATGGATAAGAGATGTCCAAGGCTTCATGTGGATTTGAAGAAATATATTTAGAAACCTAGTGAAAATACTCGTTATTCATGAGGATGTAACGGTTTAGGGGTGTCACTGAAATTAAGCCGCATCAATCCAAATTAGTACCTAGATGAGTGACCATTGGGGAATACCAAGTGTTGTAAGCTTGGATGTGCAGTTGGTATAATGAAAATGTTCTCTGAATTGTTGATTGGAGAGCTAATTACCATTGGGGAAAGATATATAAATTAGGCTAATTAGTAAGACTTGTATCAATAAACCTTTATCTCTTAAAAAAAAAAAAAAAAAAAAAACACTTACAATCTAAAAATCATCTGGCTTTAAATAACCTGCAAAGGGTTAAGCCATAAAAAACAATTTCTACTTAATATTTGTGTTCAGCTGAAATATTTATTTGAATTTTGACAGTTGTCTCTAGCAACAGTTGTTCTGTTTAATTTATCTTAAAATTGTGTTATATATATTCTCAAAAATACTTTTGCAACAAACTTTGCTGCATAGAACCATTGTTGTAGGTACCCCCCCCCAAATCAGATTCAGGTCATGGATTGTGTGGGCGATGTAACAGGTCCTCCCTTACCTATCCATCTTCCATGTTAGATGGCAGCAAGTCCACTGCAAACAATATGCTGGAGCCCCCATCATGCAATGCATGTCTTTGTATTAGCAGGGTTACAATCTCGAGCAGATTTGGAAGTGTGTTCAAGGTAGTCCCTGTAGATAACTTTTGGGAGAATTTATGGACCTACCAGACAGTCACATCCAACTTCACCCCACACACTAATCATAAACAAGACTGAATAGACAAACAATGGAGTGGCTGTTTGTGCAGTAAACCATTGGCAAAATTTTTCCCTTAGTGAATGATCAGAGGACAAAAAAATCCTGTACGCATTGCAAATAAGTGACAGGAGTGGCTCTCGACGTACCCTCCATGCTATACTCTGAGATGTATGACAGGCTAGGGCCACTTGATGTGTGCTGAGACCTGGATTATCTCTGACATCCTGTAGAATGTGTTCTTCATCGTAAGGCATACGGGTGGATCTATCTTCCTGAATCCGTGGTCTGTGGTGCCATGGATTCAGTCTCGACAATAAACAGCAGTAAACGTTGGATGACTTTGCGTTTCCAGACCGAAAGCAGCTATCTAATACAACCCTGCAACCTTACATCCATTACTATTTGTGTGGCTGTATGTAAAAAAAAATCATACCTGCCTGCTTGCAATATTAATATCTTGCCATTGTTAAACAGAATACTTCTTGGTTAACTCATTGCTACACATGTTAAACACTG